TAGTCGTGTCCGACTCTGGGGGTTGGTGCTTATCTCCATTTCTAAGCCGAAGAGCCGGCGTTGTCCGTAGACACCTCCAAGGTCATGTGGCCCGAATGACTGCATGGACCTATTAATCTACTCACATTTGCATGTTTTCAAGCTGCTAGGTTGGCAAAAGCTTGGGCTAACAGCGGGAACTCATAACACTCCCCGGATTCAAACCACCAACCTTTCGGTCAGCAAGTTCAGCAGCTCAGTGATTTAACCTGCTGCGCCACCAGGGGGCGCTGAATGCAGAAAGGAGTTTAAAAAATTAAATGAAATTATTGTAAACATTTTGATATTATAAAATAATTTAAAACATTGTAAAAAATATTTCTATGTTTTGGCTGTCTCTGCATCCAGTTCTTCTTTTGTCCAGATGAAGCTGCTTTTCCTTACCCTTTTGCTTCTGGTCTCCAAATCTCTGCTGATCTGATTCTGCAATACAACATCCACAATGTTGTCTCAAGGTCAAAACTCCAAAAGGCCCATTTCCTCTCTGGGATTCAGGTGAAAACATTCTTTGTACTAGAGGTGTTGGATAAGAAATCCCATCCCTGCTGTGCTGGTGAATGATGGGAGCTGTAGTATCACTCTTCTCAATAGTTTTCAGGAACTCTCAGAAGTGTCAAGATTTGGTCTCCCAATGGGGCCATTTCAGTCTTAAAGTCGCAACGAGCATTCTCATTCAGGTGAATTATGGGAGTCATTGTCCAACACCTGGTTGGCTTCCAAGATTTCAGTATCATCTTTCTAGTTTTCATGTTTAAAAGGATTCCCTTGAAGCCTTTGTACATAGAATGAGAGTGGTGTGGTACTCCAAAGTCTATCTAATCCCACCCCATTCCCCAAAGAGACCGACCCAACTTCTCTTTAAAGAACTCAAAAAATGTCTTTAAGCCTCCAAGGGAGGCCATAATCCATTGAAGATTGAAGGGACCCCCAAAGGCCATCTACTCCAACCCCATTCCCAAAAGATAGCTTCACCTGGGCCACCATCATTTACCTGGCCCAAGAAAGAGGACAGGTGGTGGTCAGTGATGGAAGCCTCTTTTTCTTCTTTCCTTTTTATTTTTGCAAGCCACCATACAAAGGATTAGATGGGGACATGGCGGTGTTTTGTCATTTGCCCTCTCCTTTGTCCTACTCCTATCCTTCTCTGCTTTGGGTCTCGATCAAATAAATATATTTTAACAACAGCAAAAATAATTCTTCCTCCTCTCCCTCTCCTTCTTCCTGTTCCTTTTCTCCTGTCTCTTCCTCCTCTCCTTTCTCTTCTTTTTCGACTTCTTCTATTTCTCCCCTTCTCTTCCTTTTCTTTTCCCTCTTCTCCTTCTTCCTTCCCTCATCTTCCCTTCCCCCTATTTCTTCCTCCTCCTCCTCCTCCTTATCTCTTCCTCTGCTTCTTCTTCCAATCTTCCTCCCCCTCACCTCCTTCCTCTGGGAATAATGGGAACTGGGGACCAAGAACATCTTGGAGGGCCACACCTCTCTCACACTTGTGTCAGTACCAGCCCTTATTCTACCCCGTCTGACGATTCATCCTGCTGGATAGGTCTGATGGGTTTTAAAGTATTAGAGGAAGAAAGCAGCCAAAGGCTTCAGGGTAGATCCTCATTCTCTGACAAAGCGTCCTCCAAACCACCCAATCCCAACACCCCTTCTCTCCTCTTTGCTTCAAGTTTGGCTTCACCAGTGCTTCACAAGACCAGGAAGGAATTGGGGGTGGGGTGGGGGGAGGTTGCCAACTTTAAATATTGGTGGGGTTTGTGGGGATAGACCCAGGATTATGGGAGTTGTAGTTCACCCACATCCTTATGCATTTTCTAATGGGACCATTCATAAAACCCCAAAACAATTATTATTTCTTATAAATATCACAACTAAAGGCCTAACCCATGAATTGCTGGATACCTAAGATGGTTTTAAATAAATAAATACGGTTTAATGGGACTTTTGGGGTGCTTCAGGGCCCCAAAGGTGAGATCTTAGGACCACACTTTGCCCTGCCTGGACTTGTTCTTTCTTTCTTTTCACGCAAATGGTCAGGGCAGCCTTTGGCATCATGATCCTTCCATCCACTGGGATCCCTTTACTGCAAACTCTTCTGGGCAGCAAGATGGGGATGGAGTGCTTTCTCTCCATCAGAATGATCTTTGGTGTCCCACATTCTCCATGGGACATTTTTAAAAAATTGTAAAAATAAACATGGAACCACAATTTGAGCATGTTTCTTCATTCATTTTTCTGCTTCCTTTGGTCCAAAATGTTCCAATTCCAAATTGTCCATAGCTTGAACATCCCTTTATCTTCAATTCTTAAATGTTCCAAAATGCTAATCGTTCGTAGTTTGAACATCACTTATTTACAATTCTGAAATGCTTCAAAATCCGAATGGTTAATGTAGTTGATCTGGGTTTTTTTGTGAAATGAAGATCCACAGTATCTCTAACACCCTCTGTTATTTCCTATTCAGGAAGTGGACCAAAGTTGAATTGGGGCTTCAGCACATTGAAACAGGGAAGTGTTTGGCAGAGTATGTTTATCATACACAATGAAACAATGGATTAAAATAGCAAGAAATGAGATTTCACTTAAACATTAAACCTCCTTTTATTTGTCGTGTCAGAACAACCAGTCTAACAGAACAAAGCAAACAAACAGAAAAATACACAACTTGTGAGTTTGGTAGCTGGTTGGCAATAGGTGTTGTTTAAGAGTGCAAAGCAAATTCTGCTTCAGAGTGTGGTGGAACCTCCTTTGTCTAAAAGTTTGTTTTTTTAAAATAAAGATTAAGTTTTTTCAAGTTTTTCTTATGACATTTCTCGACCTGGATAAAATGCAATAGAATGGCACTGTGGCTTTCCTTCCCTCCCCACTCCACTTTAGCCTTCTTTGGGAAGGAGAGAGATCAGACGGTTTGGGAATACATAAAACAGGGTAGAATACACTAAACCGGATAGAACTCTGCAATCTGACCCAAAAGATTATTTAATGCTTCCATGTTATTGCCAAACATCTGACTCCAGATGAATTCGTCGAGATGACAAGGCAATATGTTGTCAATTGTGCCATTCATCTGCTTGAAAACAGTCTTGGCTCGTTTCCAAAAGGTTTCAACGTGGCTTGTACATGCCCCGGTTTCCAGGTCAACGAAGTTTGAGTATGGTTCACAGTTAAGTGAGTATATGGTGGGATCACTTGCCACTGCTCTGAGTGTATAACTGACCCAGGTTTTATGTAACGAGGGACCAGAGGCAAAAGCGATGCTGCAGAGCAGTCCTCCACAAACTGCAGGACACCCAACTTCTTCTCCATGTCATAAACACCAAAAACAATTGCTTTCGAATACGCTGTCCGCAGTTGTACTTCCGATGACACATAAAGGACTCGTCAATCTTTACAATGACTTGGTGTCCTCCAAGTGGGATAGGGTGATTGAGGAGCCACCAGGAACAAATATCACGGAAGTACACATACCACTGAATAACTGTCTGGCGGGTTACGTTAACGACCAGCTTGGTGATCGACAATGGAATACGGTAACTCCAACTGTAGGCTAATAGTATACATTCCTGAAGAGTTATCTCCTGCCCTCCCAAGAACTATTTGTCCTGGATACTGGTTTTTCTCCTATGTGGCCATCACGCAACATCGTTATTCATATCACTCCTCTTAACCAACATCATGGCTACCCCACATCCAGGCTCTCCACAACATGGAGGCCCTTCGGCAATAATTCCACGTGCCTGAAAAAAGCTGACAGCCAGTTCTGTGATGCGGAACTTGTCAATAAACTCGATTAGATTCATTTCATACCGCTCTTGGTATTTCTCCCCTCCTTTCTATCCTTCCTTCAAATGGAACTACGAAGTATCTTCCCGCCTTCCTTCAAATGGAAGTACAAAGTATTATATATTTATAATTATATTATAATTTTAAAAAACATGAATGAATTCCTATGCACACTGCACATTTCTTATTGTGCAAAAAAAAAACTACACTTAAAAACAATACAATGAAGAACAATTTTAACAAATATAAACTTTTTAGTACTTCAATGGGAAGTGTGGGCCTGGTTGTGGCTGATGAGATAGGATTGTTGTGTGCTTTCAAGTCATTTCAGACTTAGGTTGACCCTGAACGAGGGCCGGGTAAATGACCTTGGAGGGCTGTATCCGGCCCATGGGACATAGTTTGGGGACCCCTGTTCTAGACAATAACATGTTGTTGTTCATTCGTTCAGTCGTCTCCGACTCTTCGTGACCTCATGGACCAGCCCACGCCAGAGCTCCCTGTCGGCCGTTACCACCCCCAGCTCCTTCAAGGTCAGTCCAGTCACTTCAAGAATGCCATCCATCCATCTTGCCCTTGGTCGGCCCCTCTTCCTTTTGCCTTCCACTTTCCCCAGCATAATTGTCTTCTCTAGGCTTTCCTGTCTCCTCATGATGTGGCCAAAGTACTTCAACTTTGTCTCTAGTATCTTTCCCTCCAATGAGCAGTCGGGCTTTATTTCCTGGAGGATGGACAATAACATATACTATAAATAACCTTAACCATTTTACATATATCAGCATAAAACAATATATACATTAAAATCGCATCATTAAAATGTATCAGTTAAAACATTTAAAATCACACAATCCAGGAGTATAAATGTGGAATGGTCATCTGTAATATAACAGTCTCGCCTTTTTGAAGGGTTTTAAACAGAAGCAGGAGGGCCATCTGCCAGGAGCCCTTTGACTGTGTTCGTGCCTGGCAGAATGGGGTTGGGCTGGATGGCTCTTGGAGGTCTGATTGACACATGGACACCGCGGCTCTTTAAAGGGGGCGGGACATGAACTGGAAGGAGGGCCTGCCGCGCTTTCTCAAAATGGCGGCGGCCACAGCCTCGCTTCCTACTCCTCAGCCAATGCCCATCCCCTCCGCCTCCCTTTCCGTTCAGAGAGCGACCAATCAGCTCCTCCCCCGCGCGGGAGAACGGGAAGCGTCAGCCAATAGGAGAGCACGGAGGCCTGAGTGGGCCAAAGTAGCGGCGCGGTGGCGGCGAAGGCCTCGCTGAGGTGAAATTTCTGGAAGCGGAGGCGGCGCTGTTCGTTCCTTCGTCCGTCCGTCCGTCGGTCCAGGCGGGGCGCCTCCGTGTGAGAGCCGGGCAGGGAAGCGAGAGCGAAGGCAGGGCCGGAGCATGAACCACAAGAGCAAGAAGCGCATCCGCGAGGCCAAGCGCAGCGCCCGCCCGGAGCTCAAGGACTCGCTCGACTGGACGCGGCACAACTACTGCGAGAGCTTCCCCCTCAGCCCTGGCGCGTGCAAGGTGGGCCCCGGAGGAAGAGCGAGGGAGGGAGGGAGGGAGGCGGGCCTGGAAGGGGGGGGGACATGGCGCCCGAGGGCGGCGCAGGTGCGCGAGGTGAGAAAGCGACGCCTGAGGCCAAGGTCGCTCGGGGACAGAAACCCTTGCGGGTAGGCCGGCGCGTTCCCTCTTCGGGAAGGCTCCCTTTCCCACGGAGGTAGGTTCCCTCCATGAGAGGGGGCTGTGAGGAAAGCAGCTACGTCCTGTGGTCCCGAAGGATGGGAGTATTTCGTGGTGCAAGTTGAGCATCCTTCATCCGAAATGCTTGGGACCAGAAATGTCTCTTCGTCGAATCCCAGCCTGGGAAGAGACTCCAAGAGCTGTCCGGTCCATGCCAGGCACACAATCCAAGCACCCCAGGCAGATGGCCACCTAACCTCTACTAAAAAGCCTCCAGAGAATGAGACTCCACCGCACTCCGCCTATTCCACTGCCGATCAGCCCTTTCCCTCTTCCTAGAGCCCTTCTATACAGCCATGTAACCCAGAATAACAAGGCAGAAAATCCCACAATATCTGCTTTGAGTTAAGTTATCTGAGTCCACACTGTCATATATTCCAGTCCAAAGCAGAAAATGTGGGCTCTTATTCAGCTGTGTGGAAGGAGCCTTAGTGTTTATGGTAGAATCTCTTTGCTTTCCGTTTGAATCCATTGCTGCATTGTGTCATGCATGAAACAAAGCAAAGTCTTCGCTATCTCAGCCATCTGTGTGGACCAGATTTGGATTTTGGAGTATTTTAGAGTTTGGAATTCCAGATTAAGGGATGCTCAAATTGTATAGTTTTATCAGAAATCCTGTATATGACCCCAAAGAGTAGTTGAACCCAGAGGTGTTCGTTCCTTCATCCGTCCGTCCGTAATTTCCCACTTGATGTGCCCCCCCCCTTTTAAATTAGAAACCAAATTCATCAGAGAGGATTTTCCACAGTGTAATCCTAGCTGTGCATATCCATTCACAATTCAGTCATGTTGAAGTGCATTTTACTCCAGATATTTATTTATCATGTCAGGGGCAACCAGACAATTGTATTACATTTCTAACAGAACAAAACAAACAAACAGACAAAACACAAAGTTTGCAAGCTTGGTAGTTGATGAAATGTCCTTTGACCAGTATCTGGCCACTTGGAGTGCCTCTGGTGTTGCCGCAAGAAGGTCCTCCATTGTGCATGTGGCAGGGCTCAGGGTGCATTGCAGCAGGTGGTCAGTGGTTTGCTCTTCTCCACACTCGCATGTCAAGGATTCCACTTTGTAGCCCCATTTCTTAAGGTTGGCTCTGCATCTCGTGGTGCTAGAGCGCAGTCTGTTCAGCGCCTTCCAAGTTGCCCAGTCTTCTGTGTACCCAGGGGGGAGTCTCTCATTTGGTATCAGCCATTGGTTGGGGTTCTGGGTTTGAGCCTGCCACTTTTGGACTCGCTTGCTGAGGTGTTCCAGCGAGTGTCTCTGTAGATCTTAGAAAACTATGTCTTGATTTAAGTTGTTTTCTCCAGATGAAATGGATGCAAAATTCTAGTGTTGGTGTGCCATTGGAATTACTAAAATTATAAAATTCCTAATCTATTTCTTTAAAATTAGTCTTGATTGACCATGGCAAGTGATATGCCTCTACTCAAGTATTCAAGATTATTTGAACAAACAGAGCCATTAAAAACAGGAATAGCATAATTTTAGGACTCTTGAAATGTCGACAAACTACTATTCTCTCTGTATCACAGTGTAGAAGGAAAAGGGTGTGGAAATTCTGGCAGTTCAAACAGGTTGGGAGGGATGGGAGTGAGGGAAGTTTAAATTGTAAGTAAAGGTGGAAATTTGATTACACTTCTGAACCCCATTTGGTGAAGATAGGTTGATAAAACTGGCAAAAAGTAATATTTTTCCTTCAAGGTTGTTGGGAGGAATTTTAACAAGAGAATAGAAACAGTTGTTAAACTCTAAACTCAGGATGGTAAATAAAGCGCAACACCCAAAAAGCAGGGGAATTCCAGACAAGAATCAGTCAGGGCCAGCTGACACCTCCCCCAAGCAGCAACCAGACAGGCTTTGAAGCTTCAAGGCCATTCAGTGCTAATCAAAGTGGCCCATTGCAACATTCACACTTGCCTCAAGCAGACAAGAGTTCTTTCTTCCACCCTGGACATTCCACAGATATGTAAACCTCACTTGCCTAGTTTCCAACAAGTCCCTCAACCTCTCAGGATGTCAGCCATAGATATGGGCGAAATGTCAGGAGAGAATGCTTCTAGAACATGTCCATACAGGTCAGAAAACTCACAGTAACTCAGTTAAAGAAACCTGCAACTGTGGGAGGCTTACTTAGAGGGATGAAAGTCATACTGCAATTCATTTTAAAGGTACCTTCTTGCAATTGGTTGCATTAGAAGCTAGTGGATATCAACAATGTCAGTAGTATTGTGGCATTAAAGGCTGAGCAAACTCACAGATGATCTCAAGCTGCAACCCTTTACCCACTCATTTAGCTGTAAGATTCATTGAAGTGAGACGTACACACTTCTGTGTAGACATATATAGGATTGTGTAGGAAGTCATGCCAAGTTGGGAACAGATCAGGAGTAGGAATTGTAGAATGGTGAGATATATTCGACAAATGCTTGTTCCTTTACATATAAAAAACCAGACAAAGAAAGGTCTAGAATATGGCTCGTTGGTTGGATTGGCTCATAATCTTGTTTGAACTCTGAAGGGTAGAATAACACACACAGGCTATATTGTCCTGTAGTAAGATGTGTTTTGAATTTCTTGGTGTGGGCAAAAAGTAGACTGTCACAACATTCCTGTCCCTTTTTTTTTTGCCCCTTGATTAAATGGACAATATTTGTGGGCTTTTAACATCTTTGCCTCCTGGTTTCCACACTGCTAGAATAGAAAGTAAATGATACAATGATCCATGACAGTACTCTTCCTTGTGGAACTTTGGCTATACTTCGCCTGTTAATATTCTATAGGGTCAGTTTCTAAAGATGAAATGTTGATGTTGATGGCTTGTGACTGTAGAATAGTCCATATATTACAGGATTGTTACAGTGAGTCTAAGAAAAATATAGCAGCTTAATCTCTTTGCGTTTGTTGAACACCAGTGTTAAGAGTAGTTCATGCTTGAATTACATATGCATAGAGAATATGGATTTCAGTTATCCTACTGGCAGTTCTTCTATCCCTGATTATTGTGTAATATAAGACCCCCAAGGCACAGAGTGGGTTTTGAAGATCATTTGAAGGAGGGAGTGTCAAGTGTTTAAACTCTAATTCCAGGAGACTGGGAAAGTGACTTGAGCTTTGTGCCACTGTATTGATTTAACCTAGGAATATCAGTGTTATCAGGAAACTGTAGAAACCCTGCCTCCGTGGTCCTGTAAGACAACACAAAATAGAACTTGAGCTGTTTTAGACAGAGAAGTAACATGCTGTACTAGCACACCAAATGCAGTCTTGTGCACACTTACTTGAGAGTAAGCCTTACTGAATTTGGTTGGACTTCTGTAAAAGTATGCCCAAAATAAAGCTTCATGTGTGAATGTTTACATGTTTTGGTAATTCAGGCTTCAGTTAGATGTCTGTATAATAGAATATCTCTGCTATGATCTAAGTATGGAAAAAAACCTGCTGATGTAAACCAAGTGAGAGTAATATCATCCTCCTGTGCACACCCACTTAAACTTGAATGGAAATTTCCATTGCAAAATCTACTGCTACTGAGGATAATAGTCTCAGTTGTAGCAAGTAATTTGGATGCTTTCAGATTAAGTTGCAAAGAATTCTGTATTATTGTTCTGGTTTTGTCTATCTGTCCATGGTAATGATGTAGGTTTTGTTTTCCATTAGTAGAGTAACGTATGTGAATGTATTCTCCTTGGTCAAGAATAAAAGTAGAGTCTTATTTGTTTTGTTCACATTTGTATTTTAAAAAATCAATGGTTTTTGCAAATAATTTTGACTTTCATATTTCCATCTGCAGAACAGAAACATGTGCCTTTCCCCTTTTTATCTGTAATGGGGAAATAAATAGCAAATAGTTCATTGTTATTCATTTTAAATCTTGTTTACTTTAATGTTGCAGTCCTTGTCTTAAATCTATTTGCTCATCTAGGCTAGTACTCACTTAGGCAAATCCCACTGATTTATTGGTACCTGGGACTACCAAAAGGTTTTAGGTTCTGTATTCTCAAGAATAAATCCTACTGAATTCATGAAGGCTTACTTTTATATAGAGTTGTGTTATTAAATGGTCTAAAATTATTCTAATTATTCTGTGCAGTATTTCTAGTGTATACAAGTGGTAGACATCATTATACTCATGCAGACAGAACCCAAATTATTTGTATTGGATTAACAATGTGAGGCTATCTGGTGATTTTTAGAAATGTGTGGATAGTGGGGAGAAAGATCTGGCCTGAGAGCTGTAAGGCCCGCAGAATAATTAGTCTGGCTCCTTTTCTCTCCCTTTCTCCCTCCTTCTCTGGCAGTGTAAGCTATGGTCAGCTCCAGGAGCAGTTAACCTGCCTACCTGCCTCCTTCCCTGCCTGGCAGCCATTCTCCCCTTCCACCCTACCATCAACACCGCCCAAGAAGTTGCCAGGGATTCCAAGGCTGTGATTGCCAGCCGAGGTTCCACTCTCCTGCTTTGGATAGAGTGAACAAAGCTTCCCTCCCCTGAGCCCCTAATCCTCTCCAGCGGCTGAGGCTCCCTCCCTTCCCCTCGACTCGCCCACTTATCTTTATGTTGATAATTTGTATGACCCTAAAGAACAAATGTATAAATAAATTCAACTGCCTTGTGATTGAGCCCCAGAGAGCTAAGGAATCATATTTTGATGGACTAACATGGTAACAAGTAGTAGCATGTCAATTTGCACTCAATTTTTTTTGTATTAAAAAGTTTTTGTCGCTCTAACAGGACAATGTGGAAAGAGCAGATGCACTCCATTTGTCATTGGAAGAGTTCATTGAGCGTTACGAAAAGCCTTACAAGCCGGTTGTCCTGCTAAATGCACAGGTGGAATGGCCTGCCCAAGAGAAATGGACTCTCGAACGCCTGAAGCGCAAGTACCGGAACCAGAAGTTCAAGTGTGGGGAGGACAATGATGGTTATTCTGTTAAAATGAAGATGAAATATTACATTGAGTATATGGAGACCACACGGGATGACAGCCCACTTTATATATTTGACAGCAGTTATGGGGAGCACCCTAAGCGCAGGAAACTTCTTGAGGACTACAGGGTGCCCAAGTTCTTCACGGATGACCTGTTTAAGTATGCAGGAGAGAAGAGAAGACCACCTTACAGGTATAAACTTGCTATTCTCCACCTAAAGAGAAACAGATAAAGGCAGTTATTATTCTTGTGGCACACAACCCACTATGAGTGCAAAACTTTCCCTAATAAATGTCTTCCAGTGAGTTCAAGACAGTGTACTTTATCCTGAAAACAGCATTCTTGTAAGTCAGGCTGAGAGCATGACTGACTCAAAACTACGCAGTGCATTCCATCACTCAGTGGGGACTTGGCTCTCCAAAGTCATATTACCACACTGAACTGTTTTTCCCTTTGCTCTGTATGACATTTGTGTGTCAGATTTGAATTTTGAGCCAGAATTATTTTTTAAGAAAACTCCAAATATCAACTCTTCTGCAGAAGTGAAATAGACTGCAAAGAAAACGCAACAGGAATAACAGTGTGTGTTGTGGATGGAATAAGAATCACTATACTTCTAGCCAGTTTCCTCGATAAGACTAAATAGGAGTGGGCAGACTTCAGACTTGCTGGATCTCATTTGTTTTTCAGTTTGAAACCTAACATCCAGGTGACAAATAGTTACTACAGAATGTATATATACAGTTATTGGACATTTTCTTTATATGTAGGTGGTTTGTGATGGGTCCACCTCGATCTGGAACAGGCATTCATATTGACCCTCTGGGAACCAGTGCATGGAATTCCTTGGTCCAAGGACACAAGCGCTGGTGCCTTTTCCCAACCAGCACTCCCAGAGAATTGATTAAAGTGACTCGTGAAGATGGAGGAAACCAGCAAGATGAAGCCATCACTTGGTTCAGAGTAATATATCCCAGAACTCAGCTTCCTACTTGGCCTTCTGAGTTCAAACCTTTGGAAATTGTGCAAAAACCAGGAGAAACAGTTTTTGTACCAGGTATGTGCACTTGTCAAACTTTGAGCAAAATTGTGATTTTATTTTATACAAGAACAAATCAAACCATACCTTTATTTAAATATTCCCTTCCAAACAAAAATGGTGTCAAGGAATTGTACAATTTCCTCTGGAGCTAATGAGGATGCTGTTTTTTCACATAGTCATCTTACTGATGCCCTTCTACTTTGTGGGCACTTTTTTCTAATTTGACCAAGAAGTATGCGTGGTATTTTGTAGGGAAGCAATCCTGAAATAAAACAGTTAAGAAGTAAACTAAAATTTAGATTAATTGTACGCAAGAAAGTTTTGAAATGGGTTAACCCTTGTTAACAATTTCTCAGTGGCAGTGAGCTTCATTAACACAACATGGGAGTGAATTTGTCAATGTTAAGATTTTCATTAAAGCAAAAGCAAAAAATGAAGGTGGACAAGCTGGTTTTTTTTAGAGCCAATGTAATATGAATGATGTACCAGGACCGTGGGAGACCAAGGTTCCAATCCTAGTGACATCAGGCAAGGCACACACCTTCAGCCTCAGAAGAAGGCAATAGCAAGTTTTCTCTGAATCAGTTTTACCAAGAACACCTCAGAATAGGGTACTGTATCCATGTGAAGGTACATAACAAACAAAGCTGGCTTTACCTAACCTTGCTTTTCAGAATTATCCCTTGAGTATTTATTATCCCCAGCATCTCTCTGACATCTGTACATACCTGAATCTCATTTGGGTAAAGGGATATTTGATAGGTAGAGTAGGCAATGAAACATGTACTGGCAGTGCTCAAGTTAGGAACAAGATAGTCCTTTTGGTTTGTTCTTAAGTTGAATTTATATGTTAGTCAGAACAGGCTTATTTTTAAGGGTCACTCCAGCCAATATGTATATAGTATGTGTGTGTGTGTTGGATAGCACAGGGAAATATTAAACATCCGTGTAGTATTTGTTTTGCTGTCTGTGCTGCTGTTCAGAAGATTTCACCTCACTTTCTGTCCCTCTGATTATTGAATTTTTAAAAAAATGGCTTGTTGTAGAAACAAGGATTGGTGAAAAAGCTTCAGTGGAGACACCTTTTCCCCCATGATATCTCTTTCGGGAGTGAATTTCCCCTCCAAGGGGGAGATTTCTCCCACTTCCTGTTGGCTCACTCCTGTTCTTAACTATGAGCCATTTATAAGTCAGATGTTTGTAACTCAGGGGCTGCCTGTATACCCTCATTTTGTTTGGTTTCTCTTAATTTGAGGGAAATGACTTCCTGTGTTCTGTGAAATGGAAAGAACGTTTATTTTACATTCTGCCATCTTTGGAATTCAAAATAGCTAGTGCACAGTGGGTTGTAATTGCTAATTGGGGCAATAAAAAAGTTGTTGCTGTGCTTTAATTATTGTGTGGAATGCAGAAAGCGTATTTTACTCCTGTGTAAGAGTAAAAACAGTTGGCTTTCTTAACACTGGTGTCACCATGGCCAGTATGTTTATTTTACCTCTATCTTTCTTTTTTCTCCATTTCCTTCTCTGTGAAATAGGGAGCTTTGAAATCTTCTGTTGAGGAGCCATACATATGCTGAGGCAAATTTTAATGATGTGACTGCTTACTGTACAAATTTGGGGTAAATAGTTCAAGAAGTTGCACTAGGTCAAAATGAGGGTAGTGTCTTAACAAATCCTGGACTAGATGAGGCTTCTACTTTCTCCCATACAATTTTGAGCTGGAAGTCAAACATAATTCCATACCAGGCAGGTCTCTATTTTATTCATTTAGAGCAGTTGGCAGTTCTCTTTACATAGGTGTTCTTGTAATCGTTACTTAACGGGAATTGCTTGCTAATTCGTTAGAAATATGTTTGTCTTGGATCATAATAGAAAAGGTACCTGCCTGTATCCCATTCTCTGGGTAACCAATGCACATGCCAGAGGATGCAGAGGGCTCTTGTTTCCTTTTGTCTTGGTCTTTTTGCAGAAGCAACATCTTTCTGCTTTAGTTCAGGAGCATCTTTTCTCTCTATCTCTTCACCACAATGTAGAAAGAAATAAAAGGAAAGTATATGTGTGCTGGACATCTGGTGTAGAAATAGTTGCTGTGGTCATCAATTTGCTGGTCTTTGTGACCATGTCCCTAAAACATAATTAGACAGGGGTGGTATTTTTCCCCCAAAGTAATTTATAAGCAGGCTCATTGGTATCTACAGTTTATATTTTTGAAAAGGGATGATTATTATTATTTGATTAGTTCTTAATCATGTGTGGTCTTTGTTTTTCAGGTGGCTGGTGGCATGTTGTTCTTAATCTTGACACAACTATTGCAATTACTCAGAACTTTGCAAGTTGTACAAACTTCCCTGTGGTGTGGCACAAAACCGTAAGGGGAAGACCAAAATTATCTAGAAAATGGTACAGGTGAGAGAAGTAATAATTACTTCAGTGACTTCCCAAATGCTGGCAGGACAAGTCAAATATTGATTCCTAGAGCAAGAAATACTCCCAAAGTGAAACTTGACAGCATATATTAAATGCAAATATGATGAAGTTTTTGCATTTTGAAAAGACTGTCTGGACTATCTGGCTTGAAATGACAACATCTTGCATGAGAGTATGGAGTCCAGAAAGAAGATTAGACTTCTAGATTTCAAAACTAAACTAAGGTGACTTTGGTGTGTATATTTAAAAGACATAGTTTTAAGGTAAAACTCGCATTTAGGTGCTTCATAATTGGGCATAAAACTTCCTAATATTAACTGATGCTTACTTAGTGTCTTGAGCTATATATATATATATATATATATATATATATATATATATATATATGGCTGAAGATACACTTAAAATGCTCCTGTTCTGACTTACATACAAATTCAAATTCAACTTAAAAACAAACCTACAGAACCTATCTTGTTCATAACTTGAGGACTGCCTTTATATTTTTTTTACTTTGCCTGTATTCATACCCTAAGATTGCTTCTCCTTGTGTTGTGTATAAGAAGAGTCCTATTGAATAAGGCTAATGCCATATCCAGTTTACAGCAGCTTACCTTATAACTAATGGAAAACATACATGGGGCCATAAAGGCAAAACCCCATTTCTGTGATTGCTGTGATATTTGATATTATTGTTTGAAAGCATTAAATTGTGGTACTGTTATTTATTGAAAGTAACTTGTAATTGTCAGAGGAACATGGATTGCACTTCTAACTAGTCTTCTGTCTGAGACAAGAAGTAGGGCTTTGGGTGGAAAACCTTAACTATGAAAATGTCAGATAGATGACAATATTTGGGGGGGGGGGGAAGCTGATGATAGGTGTGGGACTGGCTTCTTCCCTTGCTTGAGACACAAGGTGCTTTGAGCAAAAGATAAAAAATAGCAGTTATGAGCCAGTGTTTTGCTGCTTTAAAGCCTGTATATATTTACTTTTTGGTTGATAACTTCAGCATTGTGCTATGAGGCTGCTCTTAAGTCTCCTATATATTGAAGACTGATACAAATTACTTACTTTCCGGTGTTTAATTAAAAGGCATGATGATTGTGCTCTCTACTTGTACACCGATTAACTTATTAAATACTTAAAATGCTATCTTGAATATTGTTTTTCTCACTGAAGAGTCCTAAAGCAAGAACATCCTGACCTGGCTGCACTGGCAGATTCTGTTGACTTACAAGAATCAACAGGCATTGCTTCTGATAGTTCCAGTGATTCATCTAGTTCTTCCAGCTCCAGTTCTTCAGATTCAGATTCAGAGGTATGAATTCTGTGTAACCATTTAAGTCATTTAGGAGTGAGGAATGGCTGGGATATAAGCATCTTTTCTATTCCAGAGTGAAATGTGATGTATTTCACTGAAATCAGCATTGTACTTCACTATAAATCCATTACAAATTTCTTGTGATCAAGATGTTGAAAGTTAGAAAATATTCATAAGCCAGACCTGTCTTTGTAATACATCCCAAATTCTCCAACCCTTGCAGATGATTCATGTGTCTTGCCAAGCAGAATGAGCAGCTCACTGTTCAGTTGAGGGTGCCAGCCATTGTTTTTTCCCCAGATGTTCCAGTTCATCTCCTATCTCTATTTTTTGTTTCATTATATCCCTGCCACACACAATCCTAGTTAGACTGTGTTTCCCCAGGTCCACTTATCTAAATATGGTGTTTGTGTGGCTGCTGTTTGAGTTAAAAGTAAGTATATCTGGTATGAGGCCGTTCAGTGTGGAAAAGTTTACTAAAACATTTTCAGACCAAACTCTTAGACTGAAGGCTAACTTAAATAGACGGTATAATTGTGTCTCCCAGGAGTGCCCAAAAGTATAACCATGTTCAGAAATGACAAGCTAGTGACAAGCCACACATTACAGTTTTCTGTGTGTGTTCTATTCACCTTTTACATTAGTAGAAAACAATACTGTTCTTCAGAAGCTGTCACTACTATTGAGAAGTAATGATGGAATTGCTGTTTTTCTTGTTGGGATTTATTCTTGTCATATCTGTATTTAGTGTGATTCTAACTCAGAGATGGAAGGAATGATGCATCGAAGGAAAAAGCGAAGGACATGCAGCATGATGGGGAATGGCGATACAACCTCACACGATGACTGTGTGAGCAAAGAGCGCAGCTCCTCCAGGTGACCATATCACGATACTTATTTTTAACAATCAAATAGTGGGCATTAATTCAGAACTATCAGATTGACCTTCAATAGTGATTGCAAATGTAAAAGGGAGAATAAGGGAGGGGTGTTACTTTCAGTTTGTGTAACCAACCTGCTCCACATAGATCTCCTTTCCCATTTCTGATGCTCTAGTCTAAATCAAGCCTGCACAACATGCAGCCCTCTAGGTGTTTAGGACTCCCAACTCCCAGAAGCCCTAGCCAGTTTGTCCAGTGGTTAGGAATTCTGGGAGCTGAAGTGAAAACACTTGAAAGACTACGGGTTGTGCAGGCATGCTCTAAACAGAACCTTCTAATAATTTGGAGCACCAAAGAAAGCTTTCATTTAAATTCATATTAAACGCCACCCAACGTTTCTTTTTTCAGATATGTAGAATGAAAGTATTGTTGCAGCGGTATTAAAATGCTGTTTTCAAGGAAGTGTAATGACATAATTGAAGGATTATGACTATGGTTAATTTCTTGTAACTTTGCCCAACCATTACATAGGTGTTTCTTTGTTTATACTCAAAACATTTTTTTAAAGAATCATAGATGTAAGCTATTAAGAGCAGATGATTGAGATAACGGAATAAAAGGACCAGTTACACTTTATTTTCATAAGGATCATTTTTTGACAGCAGAACGTTGATTCTTACTATCCCAACTTCTGCCAGTGGGTCATGACAGTAAAACATTTAAGTCACTTCTTTTGGAGTGCCTGTGTTCTTTTCCTAATGTCCTTTTCACAGGAGTTCAGTTGGGTAAGCATCTTGAGTATGGCTTTTTGTCCTTCTTTTTTTCTTTTGCTTGTATGACCAAGCAAAATGGGGAATTTGTTCAATTAAAGTATCTTTACTAGGTGCCTATTTTATATTTTTTCCCAATGTCTACATGTTTGGATAACTTTGACAATTGGTTTAAATTGGCAAAGATGAAACTGCACCTAGAATGCTTAGAATACATCCGGGTTTTTTTGTGAAAAGCTTTATGTTGTCATTTTGCATAAGTTACAAGAAACATGCCCTGACAGGCAGTTGTATTTTATTTTTGACAGGATTAGGGAATCTTGTGGAAGTCGTGCTCATCCCTGAAAGATAACAAGACCCATCTAAAGGCAGTCGCAGCCAGCCAGTTGTCTTCTATTCCTCCCATCAACTGTCTGCTTGGATCTTTCTCAAGTCTTCACCACTTTTCACTAATTTGTTTTAAATCCAGTCTTTGCCTACCACTACCTACTATCTAAATCTGACTCCTTCCTAACAAAAGGAGAAAACTAGAAATTTCTGTGTGTTTAACCTTCTCTTTCTACACTCCATAAAACATATATGCTAAACATGAGAAGACAAGGCTGCTGGCTGCAAGGCTGTGCTGTGGCTCAGAACTCTGTGCAGTCAGTACAGGAAGCAGGGACTTTGTATTAACAAAGCTGTCTTAAAATTTAATCAAGTCGATTTTGAAAGTTTCTATGCTGCTCCAACATTGTCATATGTTTACAAGTTGCATTCTCATGCACTACTACTATGTGTAATTGGCCAGCAGATCCTTTCCTAAAGTGCAAAAGGAACAGTGGATATATTTGCTTATGGTGATTCCTCTGCTTCATAAATGATCACCCATAAGAAGCATATTTTTGTAAGTTTTAGATATATAACATCAAACCATGGGCTAATTAGACCTATAGTAAGTAGTATGTCTAAAGCAGCAACTCATTACAATTACATGTACATTTTTGTTTTAATAAAAGCATCAAAATTGCTGGTATTTTGCAGTTGGTTTGGAGCTTGATCCAGAAAATAGTGGGTAGGAAGAAGCTATAGCTGCTTAATTTATCTCCCTGTGGGAGTTTCAGGAAATATAAAAATAGAAGGATTTTTAAAATAAGAAGTGGGTGAAGTCTGAATAAACACATTTTGTTTTATGAAGAACTACTTTAGAGCCTAGAACCCTATTACTCAATCTGCTGTTGTAGTTTGACAGGTAATTTAGGTGTGTGGTATTTTGTCTTGAAATAAGATGTGACTGTGTATCCCAAGCAGCCGTTTTTAAAAAAAGAATATGCTGTTTCAAGAGTGATTTTGTTGTTGTTAACGTAGAAATGAGTTACATTCTATGATGGGGCTTGTACCTTCATCCACTGTTGTAACTGTGTCCCAACCTTGAAAATCTGCAAAGTAGGATAAGGTCCAACACCCCAATACTTGCATTTTGAGACATGACACTGAAAAATATTCCTTTGTGGAGGATAGCTGTAGGTTTTCCCCGCATCCCATTGTTCAGGTAATGTGAAATCCACCCATTTGTATCCAATTGTCCGTAAGATCTCTGGTCCCGTAAGAAGTGTATTTTCTTCCATTATTTTCAGTGTTTCAGAAAAAAATCCACCCTACATATTGGTAGAGTGAGGATCAGTATATCACTTGGTAGCTTTATCTCAGTGCATTTATGAAATACATTTTTGGTGAAGAGTTATTTCATGTTATTCATAACCAGTTTTCTGACTACAGATTAATCTTAGCAGTCCAAGTAATTTTTGCATAATTTTTCTTTAGAGACTATCTACACTGTAGAATTAATGCAGTTTTACAAGGCTTTTAGCTTTCTCTAACAAATAGTGCTAGTGCAGTGGTTCTCAACCTGTGGGTCCCCAAGTGTTTTGGCCTACAGCTCCCAGAAATCCCAGCCAGTTTACCAGCTGTTAGGATTTCTGAGAGTTGAAGGGCAAAGCATCTGGAGACCCACAGGTTGAGAACCACTGTTCTAATGTCTTCACCAAACTACTAGGATTCCATAGCATATTTGGCAGAGAATGCTAAAAATAATGTAAAACCACAATCTCATAATTCCATAGCATTGAGCCTTGGCAGTCAAGACAACATCAAAGTGCATTAATACTAAAGTGTAGATGCACTCTTAAAATATCCTTGGGATATCACTTTTGGTGATGAGGGGAATGATTCTGTAGAATTTGATATCTGTTGGTTTTGTACTAAGAATTTACAATTATCGAGGCAGATATTGGGGTAGAAAAGAAGCAAAGAAAGATGCAAGTATCATTGTTCCTTGATTTAAAATTTACGAAGCTGTTGTGAGCTCAGTAGTCCAAGCCACTAGCTACCTTTCAATGGCACTAAAAGGTCTTTCCTAGTCCTGACTTGATTCCAGAATCCCTGTGAATTGAGTCCTTTGGGATGTTCCCAATAAAAGACATTAAGAGATTATTTTAATCAGCTTCTTTACCCTGAAAAACTTAGTCCTCAGCCTTGGGCATCCCACTGGAACAAGCATGAAAGGAAGGAAATTTGTTTAAAATTACCTTACCCACTTAACAACTTCCTGTAATAATAATAAATAATAAAAAATGTATTTATATTCCACCCTTTCTCCCCAAGGGGGATTCAGGGCGGATTCCAACATACAACGGCAAACATTCAATGTCTCCATAAACAGACAAATATCAACATAATAATCCCAGAGGAACCCCACATATCAAAACAACATAAGAGCCTAATATCAATAAATAAAACCCAACGTAATCAAACAAAAATTGTATAATAGCATAAAATCTGAACATAAAAACATTCACTTTGATTTATAGAAGCCTGTAAGGGCTTTGGCTGGATTCTTACCTTTTTTGCTTGCATTAGAGTTCCAGCCCCTGATGATGACTGGTAATTAAAACAGTTCAGTTCCATGCAGTTATTTAAATTAGGATTTCACGTTTATATTGGTTTAATAAATTAATCTGGTAGTATTTGCCAAATTTCTTTGGTTAGACCGAGGTTGGAAGACCTACCTTTAAGTAAAAAAAACAACAACTCCTATTTCTTGAATCAGAATCGACTTTTTAAAAGCCTTTTCCCATTTTTCTGTTTGTATCAAAAACAATCAGAATTGTGACATTTCAGGGCCAAACTAGTAATGGTTTTCCTTTTTATCGGTAGTTACCACAGGCAACTGAAGTCCAACACTGTTGCAGTCAGTGTTGTTACGCCTTTAAATATTTTATCTTTCATATATATTTGTTCATTTATATAAGCGATTTGCCTCTGATGTACTATGGTAAGAAATAACTTGCATTAGAAAATACAAAACTTCTGAGAAAAACAACACATATTAAACCTGGGGCTTTCTTTTAAACTGTAAATTTTGTAAACAAAATTAAAGAGAAGCTGTGTCTAACTTCACTGGTCTGGAGTTGGGCATTCTCCTGTAATTTCCTGACTAGATGCCAAGTATATTCCCATCCTGTTGAGCTGTAGTCAAGCAACTGTCTTGAAAGGGCATTGTTTCTTATTAGTTCAAAACATTATCTGGTTACAGCTGCTTGAAAAGAAATGCTGTCATATAGGTGATTGCTTGTACTAAACAGCTTTGAGTAGTTTCTGGATATAGCATTAGGAAGCTGCAGGCTTAGATTCAAGATCCTAAGTTCTCTATTTGCTCAGAATCACAATGTCGTTAACTTGATGCCATAGTTAGAAGCCAATCACGTACTTTTCACTGAGTTATGAACAAATTTCAGATCACCCTAAGAACCTGCTCAATAGGACAGAGAAGTCTCGCTTAACAGGTTTTCTGCACCAAGGAGAGTTCAGGGAAGTAAGTGCACATTTTGCTGTGGAAGAGGCAGGAGAACATTATTAGATCTTCACATGTGAGCTTGGCACTTCCTTTGTGGGGGAGATAAAAGCATTAGTCAGGCTTTCAAAATAGGGTTAAACTGAGCACACAAGGGAGGTGCATGAGATCTGCCTGCCTTCTTTGCTTATCTCATGTAGGGAATGACAGCCAGAGGGAGAGCCTTTGCTATACAAGAAGGTTCTCCATATGATGTGGAGCCCTCAAAAAACCAAAAACAAAAACCAGTGGAGGCTCTTCCCAGATTCTTACTTTGGATATGAGAGTAATGGAAGATGATGATGGAGAGGACTAGAATTCAACTCACACCTGATCATTATTGAATGGAACTTTATATTCTAGGCCATGTTTAGGATGCTGTGTCCCACAATGCTGATCTTGCGCTCAATGTGCCTCTTTAAAAAATGTTATTTGCGTGTGTACACACTGTGCCAGCTGTTGATATAGAGCTCAGCTCTTGTCCGCTGCTCCTTAAAATCAGGGCAACTGCTTGTTGGCTTTTATTTAACTATGAGAACTTTAAAAAAATACATTTTGATATAAACACTTGGTCAAGACTCACCATAATTCTCCATTTCTAAAATAAGTGGTACAAGATGAGCTGCCCTGTCTAAACTAGGTATGTTTAGGATAAAGACTAAGAAACTGACTTCTGTCGTTTTTCTGAACATTTGTTTTTGTGAATGGTTCCACTTCCTTTATGGATTTTAAGAACATGTATGTTTTGCAGGTACCCTCATGAACAATCTCACTGAGAGTTTGAGATAACATCAGAGAAAATACTGGTTTTCTTAATTCTCCTGGTTGACTTCAGCCAAACTTGATCCATCTTGTTTTCTGATCATCTTTACCAACGGCCACTATTAAATTGGAGAACTATTCTAACAACCTTTCTTTCTTGAACTCCCAATTTCTATGCTATGATGTTGAGACCTTTTGCCTGCCAGAGGTCCCTCTGAGGTCCCTTTCCTTTTCTGAGTAAGATCTCTTTGGACTCCTACAGCCATGTTTAAAGTGCCAGCTCCACTAACTATACTCATTAAGTCAAATCCGTCCATAGAGTGGAGCCAGGATTGTCTGAATCTTCTTTTTGGATGACAATGATTATTATATACTTTTTTAATTTAAAATAAAATCTTATTTTCCATTACTTCATTTGTATTTTGCTTTCATCCAAACTTTGAAAGATTCACATATTTCATGTGTACACATTTGTCTGTCCCTCCTTTTTTCAGACTGACAGGACCTCTTCACAAAAGAAAACACTTGCTTTGATGGTATAGGAAGCATTCAGAAGAATGCAGTAAGAAGTGTCTGTGGGCCAGGTGATTTATCTGAGGCCCATATATTTCAATCATTCATTATAGCTGCCATCAAGATGTCACAGTCTTGGAATTATCCTACATCGCATACAGGAAGAGAGAGACTGGATGGTCCCAGTATCTGTTTCAGATCACTGAACCAGGAGTTATTGCCTGATCTTTTAGATAGATCTGAGTACAAGTTATTCTTTATCAAGGATCCTGAAATTCAATATACTCTTAAATTGGGTAGATGAAGTGGTGATACCTTTGCCTTCTGATGGTTCAGTATATGCACAACATTTTAAAATATTATGTATGACATTACTTTCAGGCTATGTAGTAGTAGTAAATTTTATTAATTAGCCCTTAGGCCATATCACAATACCAAGCCTTGATAAGACCTGATTACATGCTATATAATGAGTTAAATAAAATACTTATAATGATACAGTAAATAAATATGATAAAACTAAATATATACATCATGTTTAATTTATCACCCCTACAATTTACAATTTTTCATGCTATGTGTATAAAAAGTGTATGGGACGTAAATGAATTGCATATTTAGACTTGGATCTCATCACCAAGATACATTATATGCAGATATGCAAATTCAGGTGTTCCAAATTCAAAACACTTCTAGTTCCAAGCATTTTGGATAAGAAATTCTCAGCCTGTATAACAAAAGTGTATAATCCACCTTCCTCAGTATGCACATGAAGATACTGGAACTAACCAAATTGGGCCTCAAGATACCTGTCCATAGTTACGCCAACAATAAAGGAATGGCAATTGCTTAAAATGTGATCTTAGAAATATGAAAGGGTAAAGAACTTGTAAATTGAGTTCTTCACCTACATTGCTAGTCCCTTCTCTGTAAGCACCACTCACACCAAAAGCTCTTCAAGCGAGTGCCTTCCAGTTGTTGTGGACTTTAGCACCCAGTTTGCCTTTAGCATGAGAAGTGCTGTGTAAAATATTGAGAGGATAGTAGGTTAAGAAAGGCTGATTTCCTGTTTGATAAATGTTCATACTGTTTGCAGCAAAGGAATTTACAGCTGGTGCCAGTCTTTTGCCATCTAACTTTCCAGACTGAAACCAGCAGAGCCTGGAAGGATAGTTGTAAGATCATTTCCTATAGGTTTTCACCTTTCCGTGAGGGATGCTTCTTACATTCCTGCCAAACCAGCAAGCTTGGGAGCACAACCCTTGTGTCAGCTCTCTTTTCCATCTGATTGATGCCCTATTAGGTTTTCTAAGTACATCAGTATCAGTTCTCTCTCAGTAGGGAACAGAGCACAAGCTAAGCATGTCTGATTATTAGCAAGTTGGGGATAATATTTGCTTTGTTTATCGGAAGCCGTACAACTGAAGAAGCAACTCCCTTATTATTTAGCAGTATTGGGCTTTTAGCGGGTTTTTTTAACTTTCACATTCACACCCTTTTCTCTGCAACAGTGACAGAAGTGTTTTGCTGCCTTGAGATAATGCCACATATATTGGGAAGGAAAGCTGTGTGACCCATGGAGGTGTTGTAAAAGCAACTAAACATTGGCAGACAGGCTGCTATTAATTTTGGCTACCTGCAGATGTGTTTTTACAAAACTGAAAAAATTATACATTACATTAAAACCATCACCAACATCCTATCATTAAAGCGAAAGAATCAGTACACCCGTAAGCATTCCTGAGGGGGCACAACTATATAGGAGTCTTGGCAATTCAATGTTACCTGATTATTTCCAGGGAACTGTCCTATCTCACCCAGAAAGTATTATGATTAACTGTTGTGCATCCACCATCATTCAAAGATTTTTTTCCATCAGTGGAATGAAGAGGAAATCACTTCCCTTTTATCCTGAAAATTCCTCAAAGTTTGCTCTTAAGACACAGGAGACCCTCTTAACCAGATCAGAATAAATCATGTCCTGTTTAATTTTGCACGTTTTTTCATACAAACATTCATTTCAATAACTGCAGCAAAGTCTCAGATATAGCTGGCTATTTCTTGATCAGTTTTACTGGAGGATCATCTATTCCAGCAGAGGGCAGCAAATTGCTTATATTAGAAAGTCAAAGTGAACTTGGCTATTCATATTCCTTAGTTCACAAATGGGCTTATCATAAGACTGGTATGGCCTGGGCCTAAGGAAGTAGAACAACAGTGCTAGAGGCTTTTGAACCTGGTAATTTAGATCAGAAGTTGACAGCTTGTAGCACCCTACATAAGTTGGATTGCAACTCCTAACAGCCCTTGCTAGCATAGTCAAAGATTGAGATAGCAATCCAGTGCCATTAGGGGAGGAGGCACAAGTTGTCCACCCCCTGATTTTAAGTGCACAGATGGAAAAATAGCCATTAGCAAACCACATGTTTATTTTGCCTCAAATGGATTAACTTAGCCAATACAACACTGAATAGTTGACTTATTACAGCCCAGAATAGCATAAATGTTCCAATTACTATTTTAAATGAAAAAGCAGTTCTAGGCTCTTTTGTGACATGGTATTCCTTTTTGAGCAGAGGGCTCCAACAAAAGCCTAATTCTTGGACCATCTTACCACTGGCAAAATTGGGGAATTGGAAAGCTAACAGATGCTATCTCTTGTTTTGTTTTTTAAAAGCATAATAATAATAATAATAATCTTTATTTATACTCTGCCACCATCTCCCTAAGGGGACTCGGGGCAGCTTACATAAGGCCAAGCCCAACAACACATCAGTAAAACAACAAAGCAATAAGCAAATAAAACAATACAATTAATATAACTCACACATAGGCAATAACACACAAACATTTAAAAAATGACACTGTGAGGTCATTTTCTCAAAATTTTCAGTCACGTGGGGGAAAAAAAATCTTACAATGATAAAAACGAAGAATTAACATTCTGTTATTGTGGTTAGTGGTTTTTGCCATATAGGCATTACTCTGAAATCTTATTTTTCATAGAGATTTTCCAGACTAATTGAGCTCAGTCTTGCAGGAATACCCATCTACTCACAACGTTGCTTATAAATCACACATTTGTACCGAGTCCAGCTCTGTCTATTCCTCAGTGTTAAACACAAAGCTGCGAGGAGGAGAAGATTAGGTGTTATGGCTGTTTGTTACTAAGAATATAATCATCCACCTGCTAATGACCACTGCCTTGATAGGATTAGTTAGAAAAACAATCCCCATTACAACCCTGGAGAGGTTGTTTTATCCACCCCGCTTCTATCTAAAATAGATTTCCTTGGTGCTCCTTATCTCAGGAGATGAATAAAATATTTGTTGATAAAGACCACACTTATCAATATAGCACATGCCAGTTCCTTTGACAGGACTAAAACAGACAGAGTCAAGATAATTTGTGGGGTCCTGATGGAGAACAACTTCAGTCCCTAAGCCAGAGGTTTTTAACATATTAGAAGGCACTCATGGAAATTTGACACTTGGAAATTTGTTCTCCAGATGAGTCTCTTGTAGGCTTGAAAGCAATATCCTCTGGAAGACCATGGAAAACTTTCACTTTGGACAATAAATCCCAGAATCCCCCATAGAATAGCCAGTAACTTTCCCAATATCTGCTCTCAAGAAAGTTAAGACAACCCCATCCTCCTATATCACTTAAATTGATAATGATTATATATTTAGTGTTACTTTTAAATTGTTTATCCGAATTGTGTATCTCGAAATACCAACAGCCATTCCTTTTTAAAGAAAACTGGGGCATCCCTTTTATGGAGCCCCCAGTGGCGTAGTGGGTTAAACCCCTGTGCCGGCAGGACTGAAGACCGACAGGTCACAGGTTCGAATCCGGGGAGAGGCAGATGAGCTTCCTTTATCAGCTCCAGCTCCTCATGCGGGGACATGAGAGAAGCCTTCCACAAGGATGATAAAACATCAAATCATCCAGGTGTCCCCTGGGCAACGTCCTTGCAGACAGCCAATTCTCTCACACCAGAAGCGACTTGCAGTTTCTCAGGTTGCTCCTGACACGACAAAAAAAAAATCTCTTTTATACCGGCTGTTATTCAGGATTGATTCTCTTCCCATTCTGCTAGCTAGGACTCTTAACTTAAAAGTGTGTCTGCACGCAAGCACCTCCACAAAGTCATCTAACTAGGGAGCCTTAAAGCCAGGTTGCCCCTGTCCACAGAACAACCAGATATTTGGCAGGTACAGAAAGCCCCAGTTAATGCAGCTTCAAACCAGTATTGATGAAAATAATTTAAATATACAGATGGTTATCCAGAAAATCCTGAAACCAGTTTGAGCCCAAGATGGTAGTTAAACAAACCACAAAGTGATGATGCACATTAAGGGCTTTCTTTCACATGCTTTTGTGTGTTTTGTTTGGCGACTGCAGTTTGAAGCTCACTTTGAACTGCATTAAATGATCAGTACAGATGTGGCCCATAAGGCTGTATGTCTCCACCAAGAGCCTCAACACAAAACATACCATCCATTACTGTACTTTAGATATAAAACAGTTGCCAAGGCTGTAATGTTGCCTGTAAACCCCTCCTCTAGCTTTCACCGTGCCCCTAACATAGTCTTCAGAGGCCAGTTAATGAAGAAAGCAAATGCCTCATTGAAACCTGGGGCACTTTTACACTACATGCTTAAAGTGTTATGATTCCACTTTAACTGGAATGACAGCCCTAGAGGATCAGTCACCTTTCTGCCTTCCCAGAGTCAACATCTAGTACCCCATGTTTTGGCTAGGCTACAATTCCATAGCTTCCTTTCAGAGATCATACTAAGATGCAAACAACATAAACTAGGGCAAGAGGACCCCCAAAACTTTTGAAATATACTCACTAGGAATGAGTGAGAGAAAAGAGTTATTGCTTT